AAGGTTCTTCTTTATCAATGAGGTAAAGAATAGATTATATATTCACTATTGTTGAATAAAATCCAGTTTTAAATTATAAATTTAAGGATTTCAGTCAAAATTCTGATACACATTATCAGGAGAAAGAGATATACAATTTAATGGGTCCAGAAATGGGAAAACATTGCCATCTAGTGGGCCTGAGAGGCATTTTAGTTATGATTTTTAGAGTTGCCTGTCTATTTAAATGGCAATGAGTTTGGTTTTTTTGTTTTATTTTTTGATTGATCTATTTAAAATTAGATTTTCAAGAAAAGAAGGGAGGTGGGTGGGGAGGGACTAGAAGAGGTATTTTTAATATAGAAACTATCATAAAGCCATTCTGTTTTAAAATTTTTTTTTTATGTATTACTCAATTAGTGGGCAATGATTACATTTTGAGTGTAACAGACTAATGATCACCGTTTCATCAGAATCATTGGTGCTTAGAGGATTTCTCCTTTTCCCGAGTTCAAGATTCCAGTGAGAAAGCTTAGCCTGGGTAGGAAGATTTCATATCTGTCTCCAGGCTTCACTGTCAATATGTACAATCCCTTAATAAGACATTTTCAAATAACAAGCACGCAATGTAATGCTTTAACCTAGGGTCTGAGTATTTTCATCTAGTAAATAAATAAGGTCAAAAACTTCTTGTAATACTGATTTCTGATGCTAGCATGTTTACTGCATATATATTTAGTGTTTAAAAAATAGTAAATTCTTCACTTATGATTAGTGATTTATCCTAGTTTTTGCCTTTTTTTTTTGATAACTGGATAAATATTTCCATACTATTTTGATAGTTTTTTTTCAGAGTATTTCATTTTCTTTATTTTGTTTCTTACAATTTAGTTTCACATCACATTTTGATTTTATTTAAAAATGCACTTCTGAATGATATACCCTTTTCCGTAAACGTTATTAGCGTTGAATTTACCAACCACCTGACAAATGTGTGAATAAGATAGATTTTTAGAGCTTGTCATTTGCAATTACATAGATCCGAGACCAGCCTGTTGTTGGGCAGCTGATTCCAGACTGCTATGTAGAACTTGAGAAAATCATTTTATTGGAGCGTAAAAATGTGCCAGTTGAATTCCCTGTAGTTGACCGGAAACGATTATTACAACTAGTGACAGAAAATCAGCTGCAGTTAGATGAAAACGAGCTTCCTCATGCGGTTCACTTCCTGAATGAATCAGGTTTGTGTCCTTGTTTCATACGTTTTTCAAAACCCATCTGTAGTAATTTATAAAAATATATTTGCACCTTGTATAGAATTTACATTCTAAACTTAGCAAGATATATACAAAATTCTTTAATAGGCCTCTGATTTTGTCTTTTTGAAAGATCGTTATATGCATTGATGTTAAGTCATGTGTCATGTTATAAGAAGAAAATAAAACAAAAATAAGTTATACAAATCATCTAAGGGCAAAGTAGTGCAAACAGTCCCTAAGCAGGAGTGAGTTCTAAAACTTGGCTTGACTCTTCAGGCATCATGGGACCCTGTGTTCAGGACCTAAACTTTCATTGAATCAAATGAATTTAGTATGTGTGAAAGTGAAAGTTATTTGTATACTGTAAAGGGAAATTTTTATTGGGATGATCCACCTGGTATGCTTAGAGAATCAATGGTTACCTGACATGATGTAGCAAGTGGTTGGCAGATCTTGTTCTGTCTGTTGTACCACTTCTTGTCATCATGGTCTATCAGTCAGAAACATTTACTGACTTCAGTGCTAATTGTGTATTTGATCAATAAAACCTTACTAGAAATGTGTCAGTTGATTTGTAATACTAGAATAAGTGGCTTAGAGGCTGCTTTTGATTCCCTGATTCTGTGGTGTGAAAAACGTCCTCATATGGATTATACTCTGTTCTTTTTTCCTAACATTCTTAAATCAGTAGCTTCCTGAGATATGCTGTGCTTCTTATCTGTATTTGATAATAAGATATGTCTTTGTAGTGTATATTTAGAAAATCAAAAAGAAAATTATGAATTTCTATTTTTGTGTAAATATATGCTATGCAATGTATTGTCTCAAATATACTACGTATGATAGTTTTATATAATTCAAAAATTATTCTTTGTAATAATGGGATATTAGACCTTTAAAACCAAGATGCCCAGGCTCTAGTCTCAGTTCTGCCACTACTATGCTGAAATTTCCTCGTCTGTAAAATGATGGGTTGACTAGATTCTCTCTAAAGCCCTCTGATAGTTGTATGTTCTAAAATCCTTGTTTCACTGATAAACTTTTACTATAGGGGTCCTGCTTCATTTTCAAGACCCAGCACTGCAGCTAAGTGACTTATACTTTGTGGAACCCAGGTGGCTTTGTAAAGTCATGGCACAGGTTGGTGTCTTCTATTTTTGTGGCATGGGGTTATGATCAAAGAGTAGAACAGATGGTACTCAGAGCGTTGAAGACTTTAGATTTCATGTTAAGTTAAGGTAGAAGCTATTGTAAGTAAAGAAAACTTAGGAAGCCTCACACAGAATATTGTTTAAAGGCAAGTTTTATGGAAGAAGGTAGAATGTCTTAGAGTTCATTGTCCTGTCTTGTTTCCAAGTTGCAGACAGATGTTTTACACCACTTTGTTCTATGCTCCTTTTTTAGATCCAGATATCTTTGGTTTGGTTATTGACTTAGTAAACTGAAGGAAGGCTTTGTGAAAATTATATATATA